TGTAGCTTTTTTTTCTCCAAACTTTGTCTTCAAAATAAAGGTGCGTCTGATATTCCAAAAAATACGGTACATAATTTCATTTACAGTTAAGTTTTGTAATGTTGCATTGATTAGTAAAAGAATTGATAATTTTGTTTCCACATGATGAGCCTGGATGTGCATACTCGTTTTCAGTTTAAGCCTTTCAATATTTCATTGGTGACAAATTTTATTATAAGAAAAATTGAATATGAATTTTGCACCATGTTTCAAAATGCAACAAAAAAAAAGTAGAGATTATTAAAATGCTGTTAAGATAAACTCTAAATGTTACTTTTGTAAGATATATGAATTTTACTGGCATTGATAAGATGTTCTTTACTAAGATTTAGAAGTAAATAAATAGAAAAAAAGATACTATTATGATCATTAACTTGCTACAGACTACTAATTTTTATGGCTGAAGACTCTCTCATGGATTTTTTTTAAACATAATTAATTTTAATTTTTAAGCTACATTCTTATGGAGTAGGAAAAATATTGAAATGTTTATGGAAAATTGAATTTGTTTGTGTTATAAAGCAAAATATGGTAATATAATAGTATTCTGAATGGAAGAAAATAATATAATAATGAAAAAGGTTACTAAAGTGCAATAGAAGCCTGTTTCTGAAATTTTTCATCATTTGTATGAATTATACACCTAACAACATAGGGTTTTAATTAGTTGAAATTGCTGGATAGTGTTGATACTAAGAATCCCAATAGATTTACTGATTTCTTGAGTGTTAGGAAATTGTGGTTCAACTTTGAAATGTATGAAGTTGTATACCTAGGATTCATAAATTTACAAAAGAATAGCTTTCTCTGAAAAAATGTAGAGAGGAAGAAGCATTTGAGTATGACTGTTGTGAAAAGCTTTAGGTCATATTTATAGTGACTAGAACCAAGTCTTCTGACATATATCTTTAAAGATTTTGAGTTTGAGAAAATTAATCCTCAAATGACTGACTTGAATATTGTTTGCTACCAGTGGATCCATATATATTGAGTAATTTTGTAGTTTGGTCTGTCATGTTGCTTATTGTACAGACTGATGAAATTACTTATTCTCTGGGTAGAACACATAGGAAATTTCAGCATTAAATAATGGGATTAATTGCAGGTGTTCTTGGTATTTTTTATTTAATTTTTTTATGTGACCTACAGAATTTCTATAATCTTAAGAGCACAAACTTCTAACCTTCTGGACTCTGTCAATTATGAGGAAGGGAGTCATACACTTTATTTCAAGTTAAATAAAACAAGGTTATTTTAACTTAATGTTTGCTGGAAATCTGTGCTATAAAATCTTCACATGTGCACACACACACACAAGTATGTAAAGCAATTACTTTTATCGAGATCTTGCATTATTACATTTTGTAATAGTGCTGGAGCTTTGTAAGTCAATCCCAGTTTTTAATATAAGATCTATGCTGTAGAATAGTAATTGCATCAACAAAAGAGGGTGTTACTGTTTGAGGAGTATAGCAAGATAACCACTTAGGTTTTTGTTTCCAGGTGTGTTAATAATTGTGATTTTTTTTGTGTGTAAAGTTGGAAATGATCATCCCAACTTCTAGTAGGTATCACTGTTTGGCATAGCTTATCATTTATTATAATTCAGAATGACTTTTGTTGTCTTATTTTGTTACATGTGAAAATAATGTTTTGTTCCTGAGGGAAATCTTCACCTGTTAATACAAATTTATTGGTGCACATTGTGCATGTTTTCACAAGCTTTCTTTATTTCTCTGCCTGTAAGTTAAGTCATGAACCCATAAGCACACCCAAAAACCAGTGAGATCCATACATTCCCAATCAGTAATTCTGTTTAAAAACCAATAAAGGCCATATGTGTCCCATGAGTAATTCTGTTTAAAAGCCAATGAAGTCCATATGTGCCCCATCAGTAATTCTGTTTAAAAATCGGTGAAATCCACACATTCCCGATCAGTAATTCTGTTTAAAAACCAATGGTGTTCATATGTGCTCCATCAGTAATTCTGTAAATGTCAGTGTATATAAAGCTGCAGTTAGACTTCATTCAGTTGGATTACTGTGTTTATTGTGAAAAGAATGATGTTGATCTGACAAAAAATCTACAAAGAGGGGGGGTCACTAGAATGTTCATGGCCTAAAATTTATGGATGTGTATAAGAAGAGATTTTAACAGTTGCACTTATTTTGGCTGAAGTATAGAAGAATTAGAGGTACCATTAGATTTTGTTTTAAAGGTATTCCATTAGATGCCATGTTAATATGTTGATTGATGCTTCAGGTAAATGATGGAAAGTTGAGTATAAATTTTGGTAATGTAGGTCATAGTGACTTGTGTATAGGCAGTACTGTAGTGTATTTCATTGTTATAGATGTTTTTTAAAGTCACTTAAACTTTTATTTAGCTGATTGTCTTTCTGGTTATAAAGTGCTAAATCTAGTTTGTTTTGGTAGATGGAGAAGGTGGCGTATCTTATGGACAACCAGAAACCATTTGTTCTTTCAAGGCTCTCTTTGCATTCCCACCCTTGAGAAAAGTAGTAATTTAAATTCACCCACTATTTTTCAATAAATCCTTTATTCCTCTCTTAAGTTCTTAAAGTGTTGGTCTCCACTACTGCTGATGGTAACTCATTCCAAGCCTGTCAGAAAAATAAAAGAATAAATCAGTTGCATGACAGTTTGTGACAGAAAATAATTCAAATTGTCCAAGAAACATTATCGTTATCTGACATGTTTTTCACCAATTTTGAATTGTACCAAATTCTAACTTGCATATCCATATACCTATATCTAGGTTGACTCTAGAACTTCTTCAACTCTCTGTCTTAGTTTTGAATACAAAGACAGTTATGGTATTTTTATATAACTTCCAGAATTTATTAACATAGGTGCCTTATACTTGTCACAGTGGCAAATTTCAGTCTTACAGTAGGGAATAAAATATTTTTGTGTAAAGTAATAGAAAAAAAACACTTTGTGTGCTGTATGTTTTTGAAACATAACACAATTTAAAATGACCTATGTTTATCTAGTTAAATCTTTATAATCACTATTTTTGACTTGTGTATTTTGTTTAATGTATAATAGATACATAAGAACTGAAAAGTCTTGATTATGTTCATACTAATTATTTTATTTTATTGCAGTGCATCTTCAACCTTCTACCTGATCTTGAAAGTGATGTCTTTCACAGTGTTGGTCACGATGATGTAACTTCAGGAGATAAAATAATTTCTTTCCTACTTGGAGGATTCAGACGATGGGATGCCCAGTACTTTATCCATGTTGCACAGTATGGTTATACGTATGAAAACACATTAGTATTTTTTCCTCTTTTTCCTTTTTTGACACACTATTTATCGAAGTTATTGTGGTATCTGTTGTCAACATTATTCAGTTTTCATAGTGTGATTTTATTAGTTGGTGTTTTGCTCAACTTCACTTGCTTCATTCTGGCAGCCACTGTTTTGTACAGGTTGGGAAATTTGGTCTTGCACGATAGAGAAGTTTCTTGGATTTCAGCATGCATGTTTTGCCTTAATCCAGCATCTGTGTTTTTCAGTGCTTTATATTCTGAATCCTTATTCTGTTTGTTGACTCTCTGTGGGCTTGTGTACGTAGAGAGAAAGATGATGTACACTGCCTGCATTTTCTTTGGTTTAAGTGCAATAACTAGATCAAATGGACTTATCTCATCTGGCTTTGTCCTTTATGCTGAAACTAAGACGATTTTAGGGTTACTGCAGCTTTCTCGAGTGAAGAGTTTAGTATGGAAAATGAAATGTTTGTTTAATTGGGTGATGTCAGTTTCTCTCAAGCTAGTTATTTGTTTTCTACCATTTGTTATGTTTCAGTTGTATATCTGGTTTAGTTTCTGTGTTTCTAATGACTTTGAACATTCATGGCCAGTCTCAGTAATTGATATAGCTCGTACAAAAGGTTATAAGATTCCTAAGAAAGAAGGGTCAGATTGGTGTTTTCACAGTGTTCCGTTGTCCTATAGTCATGTTCAAAGTTCACACTGGGATGTTGGATTTTTACGTTACTATCAGATGAAGCAAATCCCAAACTTCCTTTTAGCTGGACCAATTGTCATGCTAATAATATATAGTGCAATACAATATTTTGTGAAAAACAAAGACTTCTGTATGCATCTTGGTCTAAACTCTTTAAAATTCAGAAAAGATTTTAAAACAAAGGAATACGTTTTTGATAGTGCCCAATGTTTTGTTTACATGGTCCACGCAACAGCTTTAACAACATTTTGTTTGTTTTGCATTCATGTTCAGGTAAGAATTATTAAATGAATATATTTGATATTCTTTATTTCAAAAAATCACAAAAGAAAGTTGGTTAAGATTAAAATTACTTTCAAGACAAAACAGCTAAACAATATTGCTTTAGTTTATTTATTAATTAAATAATTTAACTTCAATGAAGAGAGAAATGTTTTAAGTCAAAGATATGGTGAGTAAGACAATAAAAGTATGTATTTATTTTCTCTTTTTTTTTAAACCTAACTGTAATTATAATTAGTGTTTTTATTTTGTATGAATCATGTTTTTCTTAGAATTGACTCTGTATCTTCTCTACAAAATGTACAGTTAATACTTATTAGTGTGGTCAGCCATATGTGATTTTATTTATAACTTAATGCTAAGTCATTAATTTTATCATCTCTAATGTGTTTGAATTATAATTAACAAAGTAACAACTCTTTATTTGAGATAAAGGTTTATTTGAAACTTTACAATACACATACTTATAGATTTGTGGTCTTTATGTCCATAATGGCTTAAAGCATCCATAGATGATTATTTCAACATATTTTGGAGGTATTTTAAAATAATTTTTCCTAAAGAAAAACACTTTTGTGATTTCAATTATTATGGTGTGTATGCTTGTGTATATATTACTCAAAAAAATAAAAGGACAGTTTTTAGAATAAAGAATACTGTAGTACATATTTTTTCCTTAGTAGCTTACCAGTGTTTATCTGTACTGTACCACTGCCAAATTCTGTAGTTAAAGATTTGCACATCATAATAATTTATCTCAGATGTTAAGCTACTCTTGAAATTCATTGTTAGAGCCATGTAATAGGCTTTCTTTGATCAGTAGACATTCTGATGGAGGATTATATAATGTTTTGCAAACACTGGTGTCATGCTTTTCAATAGGCAGGAAATCTGTGATAGTAAATGAAGCGAGCAACAAGTTTTATCTATTTTGTGAGTAAATTCTTTCTTTAATTTTCATCAGGGACATATTATGGGCCTGGGGCTAAATTTTTCTCCTGGGCCTATTATGATTGTGACAAAAGACTAAGGTAAAAAAAACAAACAAACTAAACCTCATAATAGGCCTTTTTTTGAGCCCAGGTCTGGGGATATAGCCCCAATAACCCTGTCTTAATCTGCCCTTGAATTTAGTGACATTAAAATGTTTAAACATATATATTTAATTTTATTATGTATTTAGTATTATAATGATTTTTTGCATTGTTAGCTTTGTATATGGATTTAGGACTAACCTTAATCTCCTCGTGAGATAATTTTGGATTATGGTTGATGGTAGGATTTTCAAGGCCCTGTGTGGGGTTAGTTGGAATGCTTATATAAGGCTCATGCATGATACATTCACCATACACATGGCCAAATTACAAATACATGGGAAAGTAGGCTTCCTTGCAAGGTTTTATGTATCAGCATTGATGGCATATGCCTAGCACCAACAATGGGGTACCCATCTGATGAATCACTGCATTCTAATCACTACAAATATTAAGTGCATTCTGATATGTATACATAGCTTGCTTTTTGATCATAAGTTAACAATAATAATTAGGAATTTGAATATAGTATTTTATATATTCCTCAAAGCTTAAGGTTCATATATTCCACAGAGAAATTTCTATAACTTGTTATTGTTTTTGTGTGATTAACGTCTCCAGAATATTAAAAAAAGTAATATTTTTGTTGTTTTTTTTTGCATCAGGTGACAACAAGAATTGTAGCATCTTCTTGTCCAATTTTATACTGGGTGGTTGCATCACATCTTGTAGAAAATAAACTGACGAGAGCTATCCATGAGAAACTCAGCCAGGAAGTCTCTCATAAAAACCTAGATCATTGTGCTTTAGTTGAATGCTCTTCATACACTGTTATTGGCTTTTTCACTTTCCTGAAAGAGCAGTTTAAGAATAGCAATGCCCTAAATCGGTTGTTAACTTTATACTTTGTAACATATTTTCTGCTCGGTACAATGTTGCATGTCAATTACTATCCATGGACATAAAACATAGTGGACTAAATGTAGAAAGTTATACAATCATGTTGATAAATATGTATTTTCTCTCCTACATTGCAATCATATTGTTTTTCTTTTACGTTTATAACTGTTAAAAATAATGTCACTATTGTCTGATATAAGTAGATGTATACAAAGTGAGTACTTTGAATGAACTTTATCAAAAATCCACAAAATATAATAATATGAGGCTGATTACGTAAGTAAAATGCTGTTTATAAGTTTAATTTATACATTGTAGTTTAGTTCTGTGTTTTTCAACCATCATCACAAGCATCTTTCCAGGTGTAGGATTTCATGAAAACAAAAACTGACAGAATATTCATATGTAAACTGTAATAGGTTTTAGTTGTATTTGCAGTTTAGCAGTTTGTGACACCTTAGGGAGACATTAAGTCGGTCCCTGATATTGAAAAGGTTGAGAAATGCTAGTTTAATTGACCTCATGGAAACTTGTTTATCTCATTTGGTTTTCCAAGTACCAACAACTATGTATATAGTTTTGTATTATATGATTTTGAATGTTAACTATAGAAAGTGTGATGTATGCTAAAAACACTTGTAAATTATTCATTTTTAAAGATACCTAGTTCTCCACATTATATTTTTTAAGATACAAAGATATTGTGTTTGTTTTCTCAAGTAGTTTGGGTCATTGTTGGAGAAGTTGTTTGGCTTCAAAATAGATATATATGTATATGATTATTATTATTATATGTTATGAAAAATATTGTTGTAAAAGGTTGTACTGTTGGGTGAGTTCTTTTGGATTATTTGATAAAAAGAAAATAATTCAAATTCCGGTCTGTATAATTATAACAAAAGCATTTTATTTCTTTGGCTACAAGTTCTTCAAGTTAGCCGTTCACTTATAGGTCCACAGAAGATACCATTACAAGTTTACCCCACTTTTTAGTATCTCATACTCTATACATGTGTTACCTTTCATCCTTTGTTGGAAAAAACAAAATCAAAAATTCCATCACTGAACTAACTGACTAACTGGTAGATAAACTGACTAAATCATTTACTAATTATTTAATACCTAACTGACAAACACAAATATCAGTAATAAAGTATTGTACCCTAACTCACATTTTATATTGCTCAAACTGCTCTAAAACAGTGGAGAAAATTTCAGACATCAAGTCATATCTACCATACTATATCAAACCTTCCTCTGTCCAATCAGCAATACATAGCTTAACTGTGGAAATAAACATTCATAGTAACACAGGCATTCTTTAATAAGTGTGTTATCTTTTTTAATGTTAAAAAAGTTTACAAACATGAAATGCTCTGATCATTTTACACCCAATGTTTCCAATAATGTTGCAAATTAAAGAACTTTATTTTGTATACTCTTAAGCTAATATTATCAAAACCCTAATTATGAAAAAAAAAATCTAAATAGTACTATTTAGATTGAAAATAGAGTTGGAGCAAATAATCTTGACCATTTTCAAAGATAAAATAGTGATAACACTGTGTCCTTAAAAGAACCTTAACAACCACACCAAGTTAACCTGGATAGTGTGGGTATATGTGTTTGTTATTTATTCTGACAGTTTTTAAAAAGTCTTTATTTTTGCATATCCTTAAAATAGATACAGAAATAGGAAATATACCATTTTCATTTTTATATCATCACTCTTATTTTTTAACATCTATTTATTTGTAGTGCCAAGTAGTTTAAAGTATATCCAGAAGACTATTACTGAATATTTCACATTAACTATGACACTGTATAAAGAAAGCCAATAGTTTGTTGTTGTGTTGTGTGGTATTATAACCCACAAAACTGACTGTATCAAAGTTTAGTAAATATTTTTTCAAGGAGTTATGAAAATGTGCATTTTGCATGAATTTGGGGGCAAATATCATTATGTGTTTGCCACACATATTTATACTAAATGAAATTTTATGTGTGACAATGCTATTACGATTATCTGCCACCATCCCTAATTTTGAAGTACTGACCAGAGGGGAAGGCAGCCAGTTATCAGCACCCTACTATCACTAAGAAATTGAATGTCAGTGTTATAGTGCACACATAACTTAAAGTGGAATGAATACTTTGTAATTAATGTATGGTTTCAAACTTAGCTTGCCGGCCCCAAGATCCAGAGATTAGCACAGGACCAATTTGCACCTTTCTGTATGGTTTGCCAACATTTAGATGCTCAACTTGAAGTTTAAAAAAATGTATAAGATATCACTGAGGTAAAAGAACAACTTGGTATCTCATCGGAACGAAATGGTTTAAAGTAACTGATAAAAGAATGGCATAGCAATGTTAAAATTATTATCCACTAGTAATCTGTTTGTACTCACTCCTCTTTTGGATGATGATGTAACTTCGAAAAACACCTATTAGCATTATACAAAACTATCTTGCATGAACTTATCCATTACTGAAAACTGTTTATTTTAAATAATTCACTTTAAGGAAATAATAGAGATGTATGTTTCGATCTTGCAGGAGAGCTCATATTCTTTCTCTTACAAGGGCGTCACGACGTGGCTGTTGTTCTCTCACAGCATTCACTACTATAACACAGAGACATCTTCCACTCGACCAGTGACTTACACTGCAATGTCCCCTATCTAATATAGAGAACAAAGCCAACTTCAACCTTTTCTTGAAAACGTGTTTACAAGATAAATAAAAAATTGGAAATTTGAAAACCTGCAAATAGGAATCATAAAAAAAAGTAAGGAGACAAGGCTGGAAATACCGTAGATATTATTAACGCAAAATACAAACCCCTATTTTGGCTCCATGCTGTTACCTAGAATTACATTTGTAGTTTGAGTAAATAATGTCTTTAGTATCTCCAGCCTTGTTTCCTTACTATTTTTACGATCCCAATTTGCAGGTTTTTTATTTATCTTGTTTGCTGGCCTTTTTTGTGCTCAACTATGAGCAAAGGCTAACTTGATATGGCAGCTAACATTATAAATTGTAATGTTAAACATAGTGAGTAGCTAACTGATGCCATTCATGATGATTTACTGTAGCTATTGACTATTTGATCGCATTCGTTCGAGGTGTAAAATGTTAAGCTACAGCTGGAGGTTTGATTGAGAATATAGTGAGCATTTATAGTTTCTGTGTAACTTAATTCTCTATATACAATGAATAGCAATGGGCAAGTATATGCATAGACTAAAATACAACCTCCACTAAGTGTATATATATAATTTTTGCCTGTAGAAAAGCAGACTTTTGAAATAAAACATATACGTTTAAAACATTGCATTAAGTAAACCTTAGTGTATTTTAAAGTAATTTTTCTACGAATGTATGTAATCAAATTTAATATTATGTGTATTGATTTTTTTTTACTCATTAATACAACCTCCCAGTGGCACAGCGGTATGTCTTCGGACATAAAAATCGGTTTTTGATATCCGTGGTGGGCAGAGCATAGATAGCCCATTGTGTAGCTTTGTGCTTAATTACAAACAAACGGTCACTTAATACAAATATGGGGTTGGCCCTCAAAGACACCTATTCTATAGTGTACAAAACAATGAGTATCTACATGTTTCAGTCATCTAATGTTCATCTATTATTGGTTGGTAATTCCTATTTCATCCTGTACTTAAGCTTTTTAAAGGAACACCAGATATTTGTAAGAAAACTAACTTCAAGGGATAACGATAACATAGTTTACACTACAATTATGATGTTTTTAGGTTATGTAAAAAAATAGAAGAAACAAATTGACTTTTCAATATACCTACGACATTCGCAGTACCTTATTCAGTATTCTACAAAATGTTTGGGTGCAATATACCAAGCCATTTTTGTTGTAGGCTGGCAAGAGAATAATAATAAGAATTACAAAAGGGCTTTTTTGAGTGGATTTTCTTTTCCTTGTAAATCTAACATGCATGCTTTTTATGCATTTCTATATGTGTACGGTCTTAGCAGTCAATAGTAAAGGTTTTAGAGTTGTTTGAACTGAATCTTTACCGTTTAAGGTGTTTTTTGTCCGAACGTTTTATTAAGGTTTTGTGCAATTCCTTGCGATCTCTATTATGAATCATTATCTTGGTTCATTACACCAAAACCCCATGAAAACTAAATAAACGAAAGTATATAAAAATTCTTATATTACTAAAAGCAGGTGAAAAACACGTATGTCAGCTTATCATATTAAAAGCATTGGTTTAAATTCTTATCGTATTGTTGCGTCGGCGAGGTCACGTGTCTTTTCTCACGCCCCCTGCTTTCTAGAACTATCCTGTACCTT